AAAAAAAATATATTAGAAAATTAAGGTCCGAGGGAAGGTAAAAGGCTTTGACAATTTAAGGTTGATAAAAAGTAAATAAAAACTTGAAGATTGAACTATGGAAAATTTTTAGTCAACTTTGAAGTAACCTTGAGACCATGTCCTTTGCCCCAGGGTGATACCTAGTAAAAATGTTTTGAATATGCTTAACAGCTGTCATTGACACAAGGATATTTTCTTCTACATTTTGCACCGCGCCTTGCAGTATAGCCTACTCTGCAGGAACCATGGACATTATCACATGACAAAGATCCAAAGTATCAGCACATGGCTCATTTTGAGGGGCCTACTTGTTCATTTTGATGACAATAAATTCTTATCATTTATCATTGACTTTATTACATAGCTGACTCTATTTGATGGGCAAATGCCCTCATTTCTATTTAATTTTTTATTAAAGATTATTTAATATTTATTTTGCTTTGATTCAAATTGAATAGGTGGTATCACCTATTCCAAAAGGTAATATCACCTATTCGAATAGGTGATAACATCTATTCAATTTGAAAAGGTGATATCACTTATTCGAATAAGTGATATCATCTTTTCGAAAGGAATAGGTGATATCACTTATTCGAATTAGTGATATCACCTATTCGAATAAGTGATATCACCTTTTTGAATAGGTGATATCTCCAATTCAAATCAAATAGATGATATCACTTATTTGAATAGGTGATATCACTTATTCAAATAGGTGATATCACCAATTGAATAAGTGATATCACCTATTCGAACAGGTGATATCACTTTTTGGCAGTAAATACCAAAATGTATAAAAATAATGTTCGTGTCATTTACAGCTGTAGCATTTTCAAACAAGTTTTTATTAGTTGGGCAACTTTTCAATTTTTTTTTATTCACCATGCACTTTTACCAGGTGCACGTCATTATTATCTGGAAAATCACGACAATTTCCTTTCATATCTTACACACTCCCTGGATGGGGAGTACCGATTGTAAACTCTTTTTTTAAAACGATGAATCGTCAATTATTTTATGCGAAATGATAATAAAATTGAAACATAATAAAAACGATTAAAACTTAGTTTAAAGCAAGTTTTTAAAATATTTTCCTTATTATTTTACACATGTTATCATTTGAGAATTAATTTACTGAACTAATAAAATAATAACATTATTAACTTTATCATAAACTATCAAATTTCTTTTCAGGTGAAAAAAATTCTGTTTTTAAAAAAAATTTTGGTGCATTGGAATATCATTTTCTATATCAAATTGATGTTATAATATTTGTAAATCATATTTTACACTCCTCTTTGACATAAGAATTGAAATTTCTACTTAAGTTTAAAAAATTAGAACTGTCCCGCAGTTCATCTGTAAACTGATGACTGAGTTACTTTAAGGGTGACTAGATTCATCACAAATAATCAAATTTCTTTTCAGGTGAAATCAATTGGGTTTTTAAATAGTAACAATTTTGGTGCATTGGATTATCATTTTCTAATAGGACAATGCAGCCATTGTGAAGAAAATACAAAGAGAATTGGCCAGAAAGATACTGCAAACGGGACCTCTTTACAGAGAGCTTTTGGTAGGTACAGTGATAAAAGTATAGGTTTTATTTATACAGTTGAATTTTAGTATCTAAATCACTGCCTTCCTGAATACCATGCATAAATCTTAGTCACAAGAACATGCCGACACTTCTTTAAGTATTTTACAATCATATCTTGGATCCTTAGATGACTTGAATTTTTTCTTTGATAGTACTGTAAAATAATGCATGAGTAATATCAGATCCCTTCTGGGGCTTGTCAAAGAATTTCTGTTTGTTACATCCAATTTCCAGATTCCCTTATGGAAATTTCCTATGGATCTGCCATTCTATAGAGAAAAACCATACGTTAGGGTATATATTGATAATGATTAAATGAAATCATCATACAGTCTATAGATATTTAATTAAACTGATAAATAAGTTGTCCAAAAGTAAAATTTGGAAATCTAGTTTAATAAAAATTTTATTTACTAGGACACAATGAAAAAAAGAGCCAGTATTAACTTACGAGAAGAAACGGAAATGTGGAGAGCCAAAACCATCATGGCTGCGGTCCATTCAGAGCTTTTAATAGGAAGTGATTACATTGTAATTTAATTACACTTTATATATAATTTATCGCAAGGAATATCAAATTAATGTTATAATATTTGTAAATGATATTTAACACTCCTCCTTAAAATAAGGTTTGAAATTTCTACTTAAGTTTTAAAAATTAAAACTGTCCCACAGTTCATCTGTAAATTGAAGACTGAGGTATTTGTAGGGTCATCTAACTTTATCATAAATCATCAATTTATTCCCTTATGGAAATTATTCCTTAGGGTCTTTCATGCTGTAAAAATAAGCTATACGTTTAGAGTACAGCTGTATATATATTGAAAAATAAATACACTGTATCTTGCATCCCACTTCTTCAATTAATTGGTACATTCCTTAATGATTTAATAAAATCATCATACAGCTATAAAGAAAATTAATTAAACTGATAAACAAGTTGTCCAACAAATAAAATTTGGAAATCTAGTTTAATAAAAATTTCATTTACTAGGACACAATTAAAAAAAGAACCAGTATCAACCTGCGAGAACAAACGGAGATGCGGAGAGCCAAAACCATCATGGCTGCTGTCCATTTAGAGCTTTTGGTAGGAAGTGATTACATTGTAATTTAATTACACTTTATAGATAATCTATCCAAAGGAATATCAAATTAATGTTATGATATTTGTAAATCATATTTAACACTCCTCATTAAAATAAGGATTGAAATTTCTACTTAAGTTTTAAAAATTAAAACTGTCCCACAGTTCATCTGTAAATTGATGACTGAGGTATTTTTAGGGTCATCTGACTTGATCATAAATCATCAATTTAATCCCTTATGGAAATTATTCCTATGGGTCTTTCATGCTGTAAAGATAAGCCATACGTTTAGAGTATATATATATATATATATATATATATATATATATATATATATATATATGTATATATATATATTCAAAAAATTATTTTTCCTTGGTATAGGGATAAAATAAAATCCAAATTCAAATGATAAACTCAAACTTTTATCTAAAGCGCTTTCGCCCCATGTGGGCTCATCAGTAGATTTCTACTGATGAGCCCGCATGGGGAAAAGCGCTTTAGATAAAAGTTTGAGTTTATCATTTGAATTTGGATTTTATATATATATATATATATATATATATATATATATATATATATATATATATATATATATATATATATATTGAAAAATAAATATCTTGTATCTCACTTCTTCAATTAATTGGTACATCCCCTAATGATTTAATAAAATCATCATACAGTTATAAAGAAATCTAATTAAACTGATAAACAAGTTGTCCAACAAATAAAATTTGGAAATCTAGTTTAATAAAAATTTTATTTACTAGGACATAATTAAAAAAAGAACCAGTATCAACTTGCAAGAACAAACAGAGATGCGGAGAGCCAAAACCATCATGGCAGCTGTCCATTTAGAGCTTTTGGTAGGAAGTGATTACATTGTAATTTAATTACACTTTGTAGATAATTTATCTAAAGGAATATCAAATTAATCTTATCATATTTGTAAATCATATTTAACACTCCTCCTTAAAATAAGGTTTGAAATTTCTACTTAAGTTTTGAAAATTGAAAATGTCCCACAGTTCATCTGTAAATTGATGACTGAGTTATTTAAAGGGTCATCTAATTTCATCATAAATAATCAAATTTCCTTTCAGGTGAAAACAATTGGGTTTTTAAAAAAGAATAATTTTGGTGCATTGGAATATCATTTTCTAATAGGACAATGCAGCCATTGTGAAGAAAATACAAATAGAATTGGCCAGAAAGATACTGCAAACAGGGCCTCTTCACAGAGAGCTTTTGGTATGTACAGTGATAAAAGTATGAGTGTTATTTATACAGTTGAATTTTAGTATCTAAAACACTGCCTTCCTGAATACCATGCATAAATCTTAGTCACAACAACATGCCGACACTTCTTTAAGTATTTTACAAACATATCTTGAATTTTTTTTCTTTGATAGTACTGTAAAGTAATACATGAGTAATATCAGATCCTTTTTGGGGCTTGTCAAAAAATTTCTGTTTTGTTACATCCCATTTCCCGATTCTCTAATGGAAATTTCCTATGGATCTATCATTCTATAGAGAAAAGCCATACGTTAGGGTATATATTGAAAAAAATTATCTACCATCCCACTTTTCCATTTACTTGGAACATCCTCTAATGATTTAATAAAATCATCATACAGCCTATAGATATTTAATTAAACTGATAAATAAGTTGTCCAACAAATAAAATTTGGAAATCTAGTTCAATAAAAATTTTATTTACTAGGAAATGATTTTAAAAAAGAGCCAGTATCAACTTGCGAGAACAAACGGAGATGCGGAGAGCCAAAACTATCATGGCAGCTGTCCATTCAGAGCTTTTGGTAGGAAGTGATTTCATTGTAATTGAATTACACTTTATAGATAATTTATCCAAAGGAATATCAAATTAATGTTGTAATATTTGTAAATCATATTTAACACTCCTCCTTAAAATAAGGTTTGAAATTTCGACTTAATTTTTAAAAATTAAAACTGTCCCACAGTTCATCTGTAAATTGATGACTGAGGTATTTATAGGGTCATCTAACTTTATCATAAATCATCAGTTTATTCCCTTATGGAAATTATTCCTATGGGTCTTTCATGCAGTAAAGATAAGCCATACGTTTACAGTGTATATATTGAAAAATAAATATCTTGTATCCCACTTCCTCAATTAATTAGTACATCCCCTGATGATTTAATAAAATCATCATACAATCTATAGATATTTATTTTAAACTGATAAATCAGTTGTCCAAAAAATAAAATTTGGAAATCTAGTTCAATAAAAATGTTATTTACTAGGAAACAATTAAAAAAAGAGCCAGTATCAACTTGCGAGAGCAAACGGAGATGCGCAGAGCCAAAACCATCATGGCAGCTGTCCATTTAGAGCTTTTGGTAGGAAGTGATTACATTGTAATTTAATTACACTTTATAGATAATTTATCTAAAGGAATATCAAATTAATGTTATAAAATTTGTAAGTCATATTTTACACTCCTCTTTAAAATAAGGTTTGAAATTTCTAGTTAAGTTTTGAAAATTAAAACTGTCCCACAGTTCATCTGTAAATTGATGACTGAGTTATTTTAAGGGTCATCTAATTTCACCATAAATAATCAAATTTTTTCATGTGAAAACAATTGGGTTTTTAAAAGCTAATAATTCTGGTGCATTGGATTATCATTTTCTAATAGGATAATGCAGCCATTGTGAAGAAAATACAAATAGAATTGGCCAGAAAGATACTGCAAACAGGACCTCTTCACAAAGAGCTTTTGGTAGGTACAGTGATAAAAGTATAAGTGTTATTTATACAGTTGAACTTTAGTCTAAAACACTGTCTTCCAGAATACCATGCATAAATCTTAGTCACAAGAACATGCCGACACTTCTTTAAGTATTTTACAAACATATTTTGAATTGTTTTCTTTGATAGTACTGTAAAGTAATGCATGAGTAATATCAGATCCCTTTTCGGGCTTGTCAAAGAATTTCTGCTTGTTACGTTCAATTTCCAGATTCCCTTATCTTTTTTCTATGGATCTGCCATGCTATAGAGAAAAGCTATACGTTAGGGTATATACTGATAATGATTAAATAAAATCATCATACAGTCTATAGATATTTAATAAAACTGATAAATAAGCTGTCCAAAAAGTAAAATTTGGAAATCTAGTTTAATAAAAATTTTATTTACTAGGACACAATGAAAAAAAGAGCCAGTATTAACTTACGAGAAGAAACGGAGATGCGTAGAGCCAAAACCATCACGGCTGCGGTCCATTCAGAGCTTTTGGTAGGATTGATTGATTGATTGTATACTGTTTAACGTCCCTCTCCAGAATATTTCACCGATATGGAGACGTCACAATTGCCGGTGAAGGGCTGCAAATTTGGGCCTATGCTCGGCACTCAGGGCCATTGAGCAGGGGGGGATCTTTATCGTGCCACACCTGCTGTGACACCGGGCCTCGGTTTATACGGTCTCATCCGAACGACCGCCCAATTTAGTCGCCTTTTACGACAAGCAAGGGGGTACTGAGGACCTATTCTAACCCGGATCCCCACGGGGTCTTTTGGTAGGAAGTGATTACCTTGTAATTTAATTACACTTTATAGATAATTTATCCAAAGGAATATCAAATTAATGTTATAATATTTGTAAATCATATTTAACACTCCTCCTTAAAATAAGATTTGATATTTCTACTTAAGCTTTAAAAATTAAAACTGTCCCACAGTTCATCTGTAAATTGAAGACTGAGGTATTTTAGGGTCTTCTAAATTTATCATAAATCATTAAATTTATTCGCTTATGGAATTCATTACTATGGGTCTTTGATGCTGTAAAGATAAGCCATACGTTTAGGGTATATATTGAAAAAAAAATCTAGCATCCCACTTTTCCAATTACTTGTTAGATCCCCTATAATGATTTAATAAAATCATCATACAGTTATAAAGAAATTTAATTAAACTGATAAACAAGTTTTCCAAAACATAAATTTTTGAAATATAATTAAATTTAAAAATTTTGTTTACTAGGACACAATGAAGAAAAGAGCTAGCTATAATTTAAAAGAACAGAGATGCGGAGAGCCAAAACCTTCATGGCAGCTGTCCATTCAGAGCTTTTGGTAAGAAGTGATTACATCTGAATTTAATTACACTTTATAGCACTTTATAGATAAGTTATCTAAAGGAATATCAATTTAATGTTATAATATTTGTAAATCATATTTTACACTCCTCCTTAAAATTAGGATTGAAATTTCTACTTAAGTTTTAAAATTAAAACTGTCCGACAGCATCTGTAAATTGATGACTGAGTTATTTTGATGGTCATCTAACTTTATCATAGACCATCAAATTTATTCCCTTATGGAAATTATTCTTATGGGTCTGTCATGCTGTAGAGATAAGCCACATATTTAGGGTATATGTTGAAAAAAAAATCTAGCATCCCACTTTTCCAATTACTTGGTACATCCCCTAATGATTTAATAAAATCATCATACATTCTATAGAAATTTAATTAAACTGTCTGATAAACAAGTTTTCCAAATGATAAATTTTCGAAGTTTAGTTTGATTAGAATTTTATTTACTAGGACACAATGAAGAAAAAAGCCAGCTGTAATTTAAGAAAAACAGAGATGCGGAGAGCCAAAACCTTAATGGCATCCGTCCATTCAGAGCTTTTGGTAGGAACTACATCTTAATTTAATTACACTTTATAGATAAGTCATCAAAAGGAATATCAAATTTATGTGATAATATTTGTAAATCATATTTTACACTCCTCCTTAAAATAAGGTTTGAAATTTCGAAAGTTTTAAAAATTTAAACTGTCCCACAGTTCATCTGTAAATTGATGACTGAGTTATTTTTAAGGTCATCTAAAGGCCGGTATACACGATAAGATTTGTAGTATAATGCAAGTATTATAATACTTTTGTATTATAATACTTTCCTGTACTCACGCTAATACATATCTTATAAGATTGTAAATAAACTACGTATTCCAACATGTTTTTCCCTGCCATATTAAGTAATAAAATTGGAGGAGGATGTCTATCATCGTACTATGCACTGCTTGATATATTCCACAAGTCCTTTTCCCATTCCCATTAAGCCACGAGTTTTTCGATGTCTTTACTTGTAAAGTCTATCATTATTATTTACCATGTGCTTTTTTAGCAATGATAAAAATAAGATGACCTCTAGTGTCATTACATTTCATTGGTTAAAAGTGATAGGTAAGCTAAGACTTGAATTATATAATAGAGCATTGCTCTATTCTTAAGATTCGAAAATTCTTATGATACACTGCACTAAAAGTGTATACACAGTAAGATTTTGTATTATAATACAAATCTTATGATACAAATCTTACCGTGTATACCGGCCTTAACTTTATCATAAACCAACAAATTTCTTTTCAGGTGAAAAAAAATTCTGTTTATTAAAAAAATAACTTTGATGCATTGGAATATCATTTTTTAATAGGACAATGCAGCCATTGTAAAGCGAATACAAAGAGAATTGGCCAGAAAATTACTACAGATAGGACCTATTCACAAAGAGCTTTTGGTAGATACAATGATATAAGTATAGGTGTTATTTGTACAGTTGAACTTACGTATCTAAAACACTGCCTTCTTGAATACCATATAAGACATAGTTATTTGAACATGCCGGCGACTTCATAAAGAAGTCCATTCAGAGTTTGTGGTAGGAAGTGATTATATCTTAATTCAATTACACTTTATAGATAAGTTATCTAAAGGAATATCTAATTAATGTTATAATATTTGTAAATCATACTTTACACTCTTCCTTAAAATAAGGTTTGAAATTTTACTTAAGTTTCAAAAATCAAACTGTCCCACAGTTCATCTGTAAATGGATGACTGAGTTATTTGGACATGCCAACTACTTCTTTATAAATTTATGCAATATTTTTACAGAAAAAAGGTACATGTCTTGCTCTTAAATGTATTTATTATTACTCATTTGCTCACCTTTCCTTATTTTTTTTCATCAGATGTCTGACACACAAGAACTTTCTGTAGATCTATAGCATGTGTAGCTGCAGATCTGTAGCGTTATGGTTTTATATATTTGTTTTTGACCATAACGCTACAGATCCCGTAATGTAAAAAAGGTGCAATTTACGGCGCAAGATTTTTTGCGTACTTTTGAGACTATGTGTAGCTGGCTATCTTTAAAAAAAAATTGGGATGGACGAACAGAGAGTTGTAGTGCCACCCATTGAAAATGATTATATTAAAAAAAAAGTGCACTGTTTCTTGAACTTTCTTCCCATTTATTTATGCTGCTACATGTACATGTATTAAAAAAAATTACTAACCTCATGTTCCTAAAAAATGCTTTCATTACTTACACAGCAATCATTTACCAAAACTGTTACGTTAATGTTTATTGCCCTTCTTGGCCTGAAATTGAGACTATCAAAAATTTCGCCAAGTAATAATACTAATATAACATAGGATTGACATATCTAATGGCAGGTTTATTTGGTCCAATGCGCTTTATGTTTTGACTTGTACATACAGAGTTGATGTAGCAGTAAAATAATGTGTTAGAAAAGGGAGAGACAGCGCACTAAATATACACTTTTTTCTATGGGTGTCACTGTAGCTCTCTCAGGTCGTTCATCCCAATTTCTTTTTCAAACTAGCCAGCATTATACAGAATTTTATATTATGTTTAAAGAATCCCAACTTGATGACAAAATGAAGATAACGGATGATGAAAGTGCTGAATTATTTGTACCCCGAAAGCTTTTCCTGTTCAACGTGGATTTTTTCAAAGGTAATACTCAGGTAAATGTCAGTCAAGTTTTTATTTCATGTTTATAAAGGCGATGCTCAATACACATCAGTTTTTTAGATAACATCTATTAACAAGTACTAAAGTGGCTAATTCCTTCACTTCAGAATGCAATGAAAAAAAGAACCCTTGTCCGTTCCAATGGTCTCTTCTGCATTGGCTTCAGAAGAAGACCATGAACCTATCAAAGAAACGTAAGATCACACTATGTTATCTAGTTCTTTTGGAAGACATTGTTAGATTTACATGTAAACATTTTTGCGAAATATGACCGTTTTTTGAGACAACATTCGAGAAATAAAAAAAATATGCAATTTTTTTTTTTTTTTAGAAAATCTGTCCTGCAAAAAGAGGAGGACTCAAAAAACGCATGAAGTTTCCTGGCTTGAAATAGACATTAACATATATGAAAATTAATCCAGAGACCATTTCTTCAACATCTTTTTGTTTGATTTTGAAGAAATTTTATGGTATAATAGATTATTGTTGAAATCATTGTTTTGTCTGTTTTTATTTTTTGAAGAGCCACACTTTAAAAGTTATAGTCTACTGGGCAGAGATTTGACCTACATGTATATGTATTTTATGCATCCAGTAGAGCAGTTTGATAACAAAAGGTCCAGAGGCAACTTGCTCACCTGAGCTCTGCATGGCTAGAAGAAAAGCAAAAATCAGTTTAGCATTGAAAATCTTAAATATGTAAGTGCATGGTGTGCATGGTCCCGTTCTAACCCTAAAAGAGAGAGGGAGTGACTTGAACAAAATTTAATAAAAACATTATATATTTCTTTTACCAACTTTAACTATTTTCCTACAAGTTTGAATTTTCATTGTGGACACACCCTAACACAGGGGGTATCCATGGAAATTCATCCAAAGACCATTTTTAACACTTCAAATTTTAAGTTCGATTTTGAAGAAAAGATGTATGTTTTATATTTAATAATATAATATTTTTAAAATCGTTGTTTTGTCTGTTTTCATTTTCTGAAAAACCACGCTTTAATTAGTCTACTCGGGACAGAGTTTCCACGTTCAACACTTTTAGCTTTGAACGGGTTTGTCCTATGTTGCACTTGTGCATCCAGAAGAGCAATTTAAGAACAAGAGGCCCGCAGGAGAAAAGCAAAAATCAGTTTAGAATTGAAAAGCTTAAATACATAAATGGTCTTCATGAGATTTTTAACTAAAGATTTTTATATATACTCCTATGTAAATCTTAGATCGTCCATTGGGGTTCCACCCTACCCCCCGGGGTCATGTTTCTTACAAACTTGAATCTACACCACTTCAGGATGCTTCCATATAAATATCACCAATCATAACTTTGCTGTTTTTGATCAGAAGGTCTCTTTTAGTATTTTTCCTATAAACTACTTTCTAGAACTTTTATCGTCCATTGTGGTCCCACCTACCCCCGAGGGTG